GAATTCCTGAAGACTGAACTTGACTCTTGTTTGTGTCTTACATAAATGATTATAAAACTGGACACCCCACTCAAATGGTTTTTGTTGCACCAGAATATATGCATTAAGTTATGATGCCATTTAGGCTTCAAGAAAAAGTACCATATGGCATTTTGCAATAATGTATTTGGACATGACAAGAAGAGGGCTTCATCATTTGGCCTCTGAGTCAAAAACATATTTGTAAAGACATTGTTCTCAGCCATACTTGCGCAGAGGACAATGACTACCATAAAGAAGGAGGAGGAGGAAAAGGCACAATACTTCCCCCTTACCATTTCAATAGTTATGGATACAGAACTAACAATTAGCCAGTAGGATCACTGCAAAGGTTCCATGCAGTCAGTCCTTGGTGGGAGAAAAGAAGGCATGAATAATGCAAAACAGTCACCTGTTACCATTTTAAATATATTCAATAAAGCAATGTTTAATATTTACTAGTGAGTAACAAGAAGAGGAATTTCCTTAAATGCTTGTGATACACATGTAAACAGATATATCACAATAAACTGTTTATTATGGGAAAAGAATGGTCTTGATAGATAGTAGATTGTAAGCTCATTGAGCAGGGCATGATTTATCTCTAATATCATAACCGGTTTCTACTTTTACTAGCTGCCACAAAGTTTCCAAATTTTCTAATTGATAACACATGTGTAACCATGCTGTTGGTAAAGTAGCAACAGCAAATTATTAGCTTCCCTTAGATGAACACAGTGCTGGTCTGGAGTATTTAATTTGTCTCTACTTTAAAGGCTTTACACCAGGACATTTATTATGCTCAAACAAACACTTTCAGGATTATTTACTGAAGTGAATTCAGAGCGAGTTTCAAATTAAAAGCTAGAGTAGCTGAACTGAAAGCATTGCAGACTCATTTTTTTACATTAAATTTGAAATTCACTTTCAATTCACTTTGAAATAACACTTTGGATGATTAACCCTGCTTCAATAAGAGTTTTACATCTTACAAAGGTTTTAAAACAAATAAATAGGGTTTTTACATGCACTAATAAAATGTCAGCTTTAATGTGCTGCTAGTAGCAGGTCAGTTGTAACCTCTCCTGCTTGATGATTAATTTTTTTAGAATTTCTGTTTACGATGCACTATCTTTCGCCAATTGTTGTTTTTTTGTTGTTTTTTTTTTTTTATATTTACTTCATACAAACGCTTGACACTGTTATATATGCATTGCAGGTATATGAAATAATACTCCTCAGCTACATCTATTTCTACAGGCTGCACAACCTAGAATTGTAATGTGATTACTTACACTATTATACCACTTATTAAATTGTGAAGTCAATTCATGTCCTCCGTGACCTAGCCACATATTTATGAGAGCATAGTCAAACTACACATTTACATCCATGAAATATATTTTGACCTCCAACAGATTTGCTCTTTGCTAAACACTCAGGCTTTTGAAGACACTTAGTATCTTTATTATAATGGTTTTTAAAGAGTAGAGCATGACATAGCCAAAGACAAGGTTGTTTCTTAATTGTAAGAATAATGATGCTGTCTTTCTATTTTCATGCATTATCTTTTATTCCAGTTGAACCTTATGGCCTTATACCTGATCTACTTCTGAGACACATCCTGTTTCCGAGTTAATTAATTGGCTTTATGTATTAATTCTCCTTTTTAAATGTTTCCAAAACACAAAACTAGACATGCTATTCAGGGCACATACACACAACTAAGCCAAGAGAATTCATATTGTAATCCATAAATAATGTGTAAAGAGAAAATACAAGTGAAAAATAACAATTCATTCTTTAAAATAGTGTGAAGCTCATATCAGCTTTTTCCTATAGGTCTATGTTTTAGAGATAAATGGACAATATATCCCTTGTCATTGAGTCAGTAGAGGCATCAATAAGTCATCCAGTTTAACCCCTTAGTAACCAGACCAATTTTAAATTTTCTTACCCTTAATGACCAGGGCTATTTTTACATTTCTGTGGTGCTTATGTTTAGTTGTAATTTTATTCTTACTCATTTATTGTACCCACACATATTAAATACCGTTAAATGGTCTTTTTAAAGATACTATTTTCATCATATCATATAATTTACTATAAAAAAGTATAAAATATGATGAAAACATGCAAACAAACCCACACCTTTTCGAACTTTGAAACCCAAAATTTGTTACGCATATACAACAGCCAAAAAACACCTGTGCTAAATAGTTTCTAACTTTGTTCCTTGAGTTTAGAAATACCCAATGTTAACATGTTCTTAGATTTTTTTTGGAAAATTATGGGGTTATTAGTACAAGAAGCATTTTGCTATTTCCAAACCATTTTCTTTTTCCAAAATTAACGCAAGTTACATTGTAACACTGATATCTGTCAGGAATCTCTGAATAACCCTACACATGTATATATTTTTTAAAAGAAGACAACCTAAGGTATTAAACTTGGGGAATTTTGATTCTTTTCATGTAACCATTTTACCACCAATCTATGCCAAATTAAAAATACTACTACTACTACTACTACTACTAATAATAATAATAAGTGATTCTTTTGACACACATAGCAATTTAAGAATACATGTACGGAGAACATTAAGTGTTTCTGCTGAAGAACACCCCAATATTTGTTCAGCAATATCTCATGAGTACAGTGATAACCCTCATGTATAGGTGTGTTGGGTTCTCTTGGGGCTAAAAGACCTTATTTAGAGGGTGTGCATTCCAGTTTTCCAACTTTGTATTTTCACAGCTGGTCATCATGCACCCATGTCCTATTTAGGACATTTTTTAAGCCAGCCAATGTAATGTACCCCCATCAAACCATATATTTTTGAAACATAGATACCCTAGGGTATTTAAAATGGTGGTATTTTGACACTTTCCATGCACTAATTCTACCACCAGTCTTTGTCAACCCTTTAGGTAGTCATTTTTTTGTTGTATTTTTCACACACACAAAAAATATATAATTTTGAAAAGTCGACACCCTAGGGTATTTCAAATGGTGCCAAATGGTATAACACTTGCCATGCACTAATTCTACCACCAGTCTTTGTCAAACTTTTGGGTAGTAATTTTTTGTGTTATTTTTCTCTCACAATGTACTTTAGGCATGAATTCTCAGTTGAATTCCCAGTTCCTGTTATAAGTTACTGACAAAGAACACCCCGATATCTGTTCAGCAACATCTCCCGAGTACAACAGTGCCTCCAATGTACAGGTTTTATGGGTTTTTGCAAATGTACAGAGGTCAAATGTAGGGCTTTCCCCTTTTCAATGATTGCACATTAAAATTTGTCAGATTGGGTTGCTGGGTCTTTGTTGCCTTTTGAGACCATATGGTAGCCCAGGAATATGAAATAACCCCATCATGGCATACCATTTTCAAATGTAGACAACCCAGGGTATTCCAAATGGGGTATTTCCAGTGTTTTGTAGTAGCCACTTAGTCACAAACGCTGGCCAAAGTTAGCGTTTTTATTTGTTTATTATAAAAAAAAACATTTCAATTTATATATAAAATATGTGTGTGTGTATATATTTATATATATATATATGCACGCACACACACATAATACGTGTGTATGTATGTGTGTGTCTATATATATATGTATATATAGACACACACACACACACCCATACATATAATGTGTGTGTTTAATACGTGTGTATGTGTGTATATACAGTCAGGTCCATAAATATTGGGACATCGACACAATTCTAATCTTTTTGGCTCTATACACCACCACAATGGATTTGAAATGAAATGAACAAGATGTGCTTTAACTGCAGACTTTCAGCTCGAATTTGAGGGTATTTACATCCAAATCAGGTGAACGGTGTAGGAATTATAACAGTTTGTATATGTGCCTCCCACTTTTCAAGGGACCAAAAGTAATGGGACAGATTAACAGTCATAAATCAAACTTTCACTTTTTAATACATGGTTGCAAATCCTTTGCAGTCAATTACAGCCTGAAGTCTGGAATGCTTAGACATCACCAGACGCTGGGTTTCATCCCTGGTGATGCTCTGCCAGGCCTCTACTGCAACTGTCTTCAGTTCCTGCTTATTCTTGGGGCATTTTCCCTTTAGTTTTGTCTTCATCAAGTGAAATGCATGCTCAATCGGATTCAGGTCAGGTGATTGACTTGACCATTGCATAACATTCCACTTCTTTCCCTCAAAAAACTCTTTGGTTGCTTTTGCAGTATGCTTCGGGTCATTGTCCATCTGCACTGTGAAGCGCCGTCCAATGAGTTTTGAAGCATTTGGCTGAATATGAGCAGATAATATTGCCCGAAACACTTCAGAATTCATCCTGCTGCTTTTGTCAGCAGTCACATCATCAATAAATACAAGAGAACCAGTTCCATTGGCATCCATACATGCCCACGCCATGACACTACCACCACCATGCTTCACTGATGAGGTGGTATGCTTTGGATCATGAGCAGTTCCTTTCCTTCTCCATACTCTTCTCTTCCCATCACTCTGGTACAAGTTGATCTTGGTCTCATCTGTCCATAGGATGTTGTTCCAGAACTGTGAAGACTTTTTTAGATGTTGTTTGGCAAACTCTAATCTGGCCTTCCTGTTTTTGAGGCTCACCAATGGTTTAAATCTTGTGGTGAACCCTCTGTATTCACTCTGGTCAAGTCTTCTCTTGATTTTTGACTTTGACACCCATACACCTACCTCCTGGAGAGTGTTCTTGATCTGGCCAACTGTTGTGAAGGGTGTTTTCTTCACCAGGGAAATAATTCTTCGGTCATCCACCACAGTTGTTTTCCGTGGTCTTCCGGGTGTTTTGGTGTTGCTGAGCTCACCGGTGCGTTCTTTCTTTTTAAGGATGTTCCAAACAGTTGATTTGGCTACACCTAATGTTTTTGCTATCTCTCTGATGGGTTTGTTTTGTTTTTTAGCCTAATGATGGCTTGCTTCACTCTTTGGATCTCATATTGAGAGTTGACAGCAACAGATTCCAAATGCAAATAGCACACTTGAAATGAACTCTGGACCTTTTATATGCTCCTTGTAAATGGGATAATGAGGGAATAACACACACCTGGCCATGGAACAGCTGAGCAGCCAATTGTCCCATTACTTTTGGTCCCTTGAAAAGTGGGAGGCACATATACAAACTGTTGTAATTCCTATACCGTTCACCTGATTTGGATGTAAATACCCTCAAATTAAAGCTGAAAGTCTGCAGTTAAAGCACATCTTGTTCATTTCATTTCAAATCCATTGTGGTGGTGTATAGAGCCAAAACGATTAGAATTGTGTTGATGTCCCAATATTTATGAACCTAACTGTATATATATATATATATATATATACACATATATATATATATATATATATATATATATACACACACACACAAACACTTATTTCCTTTTAAAACATATTATACATATATATGATTTCATTATAAGTGTATTTTGAGATATATGTATATTTGTAGTCGGGGACCAAAGCCGTATCTTTGATAAGTTAGATATATGAGCAAGTCGGTTGTGGTGTGCCGAAACCGACGTATCGGGTAGGCCTGTAATAAAAGATGGCCCACCTGTAATAGTAATATGTATAATGGGAGAGGTGGAAGGGATGAACCCGGGAGCATCAGCCCTGTGGTGTAGGGGCCTGAGTTTAAATAGCCGGGTAACCCCTACCACAACTTCAGGCTCCGCCTTCCAATTTGTAGTTGGGGACCAAAGCCGTACCTATGATAAGTTAGATATATCAGCAAGTCGGTTGTGGTGTGCCGAAACCGACGTATCGGGTAGGCCTGTAATAAAAAAGAGGGCAAAAATTGAATAAAATAACCTTATTATATATCTCTACGTAGCAAGATTCATAAAGGCTTGTCTACTCAAGTCTAGCTCTGGTTGTGGTATGTATCTAGTAATACACTGCGGATTTCCAGCATCCTAATGTTTATGATGTGAGCAGGGACATTTGTCTAGAAGCAGCTGATGCTGCACCGATTCTGAACGAATGTCCCGAAAAGGCATTGTGGTTGAGTCCCCACCTAGCTTAGAGTGTTCTGAGATACATTATGAATTTAGCTGTAGTGAGCGGTTTGCCCTGCAGTGTAAATAGGGGCATATTGAGGTTTAGTCCAGTGAGTGATAACCTGTAAAGGTCTGTCAATTTGACCGGGCACCTTATTGTCCGTAGGATAGTACCTTATCTCCGTACGTTCGTCATATGGTAAGAGGATTTGAACTGTTTGGTACTAGGATAGACACTTAAAGGACCACTCTAGGCACCCAGACCACTTCAGCTTAATGAAGTGGTCTGGGTGCCAGGTACCTCTAGGATTAACCCTTTTTTTTATAAACATAGCAGTTTCAGAGAAACTGCTATGTTTATACTGAGGGTTAATCCAGCCTCCAGAGCCTCTAGTGGCTGTCTCATTGACAGCCGCTAGAGGCGCTTGCGTGCTTCTCACTGTGAAAATCACAGTGAGAGCATGCAAGCGTCCATAGGAAAGCATTGTAAATGTTTTCCTATGCGACCGGCTGAATGCGCGCGCGGCTCCTGCCGCGCATGCGCATTCAGCCGATGACGTCGCGAGCAAGGAGGAGAGGTGGAGTACAGCTCCCCGCCCGGTGCTGGAGAAAGGTAAGTGTTTAACCCCTTCCTCTCTCCAGAGCCCGGCAGGAGGGGGACCCTGAGGGTGGGGGCACCCTCAGGGCACTATAGTGCCAGGAAAACGAGTATGTTTTCCTGGCACTATAGTGGTCCTTTAAGATATAGTGTTGTATTCCAGTCAGGTAAAGTTTTGTAGTGTTAAGAGAGAGTTTTAAATTGAGGGGGCAAAAAGGAGAGGAGTGTCACAATGGCGTCTAGTGAAACAATATCGGTATTATGGTAATCGGTGGTAAACTTGTTATAAAGGTGAAATCTCTATTGTATGCTCATGATGTATAAACGGAGGGGGCATCTCTATCCAGAAATCTGCCAAATGCCATGAGGCGAGTTAGTCCAGGATTTAAGCCATGGAATCCGCGGGGGGGGGAGGGAAGGTTAAACAGGCATGTTGTTGGCTGTTAGGTGGGCTTCGAAGAAGTCTTGTAAATTAGAGCGAGATAAAGCGTCAGCTGCTTGTACATATGACCGGGAATTTTTGCCCACATGATATGAAATTGTAGTGTTGCTGCCTACCAGGTGAGTTGTCTATTAAACCATGATTGTCAAGGATGAGGATCTGCCTTTATTGATGGTATCGTTGGCAGAGAAGCACTTGACAGTTTCCCCTATCCACTCATACCCCCAGGCCTTGTAGGCGGCACTATGGGGTAGGTTCCAAACAATGCTGAGGAGGAATGGAAAGATTTTAACCAAGAGTCTCAAGTGGCCAGGAATCTCAGAACCAAAAGTCACCAAATTGACCGTGAAACCAGTGTGTGCAGCTGCATTGGTCCATGTAACTGGGGAATGTTGAGAAATGGCGAGAATAACCTGGCCTAGTATTCCAGTGTGGTATGAACCTGAGCCATATGTGTAGGTCTGCTTTAGTAAGCACAACTAGTGCCAAAATGCAACTGTCAGTGGGAAGAAGACACAGTGGTCGGGAAATAAATGTGCGGTCGTGAGGAATAATTCTCATGACCAAGTTCAACGTGCCCAGTAAGGACTGTAGATCCCCCCAGGTACACGTGCTCTTCGCAAGAAAAATGTTCCCCGGACTCTGTTGCGCTGTACCTTCTCTGTAGGTTGACATGTTCTGTAGCGTGATAGGGTCAAGATAAATGCCTAAAATTATCAGTTTGTGAAAGTGGAACACCTAGTGGTGAAAAAGTGCCATTGTCTTGTGAATACTAACCAGAGTGGAGTGAGGGTGTTCTATCATGAGGAAGTTATCTAAGAAACCGGGTGACTGCAGGACATTCGCTAATATTGAGTGGTAGCCAACATAGTGTGTTAGCAAATAAGACAAACAGCTTGGGGTTACTCTTTGTTCTAAAAGTTAAACGTGTGGGAATGTAATGACAATCCCTCCATAAAATGACACAAACGTGCCCTTGGGATGGCTGAATAGGTAGAAGCTTGGAGGCGTTGGAAATGTCTGTCTTGCCCACCCAAGCTCCGTTCATCCCCTATGGCATAGTGCTGGGAGAATTCCTTAGAGGAAATCAATGAGTTGAGGCTAGGGGTGGGTAATTAATATGGGTTGTCAAATACCTTCTTAAGCAACGTGATTTTGTTGCGGGTCTATTAATGTGGACTGGAGGTTCTGACACTCATGAATACCGGACGGGAGTGTGACCAGACCTGTGTAAAAATGGTGTTTGAAAACCTTGATGTAGAAGTCGACTAAGTGACGGGAAGGGTGTGCTTGGAGGTAAAGCTCCAGGTTGTCAATGCAAACCTTCACTATGGTGAGGAGAAGTAGAGTCACTTACGTCACGAAAAGACTGAATGCCAGAATTAAATCTGGGATAGTGAGTTTCTGATTCAATCTGGGATTCTGGTCTACAGAATGACGGACAGATCACCGTAGTAGCAGTAAGACTTGTACACTAAGACACTGTGGGAGGCAATTAGTAAGGAGACTAAATTAACTCTTCCAGATGTCTTTGCGTTTGGTCGGGGACACGAAGTACGTGGGAGTGACAATGTAAACAGATGTGCTAGTGTTATGGGCAAATGCAAATATTACAAGTTTAAGACATTATAGTGGTAAATAAGGGAACCACCTGCGGTTACACTAGGGGCAGGATTTGAAGGGATAACATAACCATGAGAGGGAGTTAGGAGCCCTGAGCCCTGTGCGTCAGTGCCTGTGGAGATTCCAGCCTCTCTAGTCCATCGTTGATGTTTTGTATGGGGGCAAGTATAGTGGATATCAACTGCTTGACTTCATTGTATTTATCCAGATTACCCGACTGCGAGCTAGTGCCCGGCTGAGTTGTAACGGTAATTTGAGTAGAAGTTTATATAGTTTGGTTTGCGAGCTGTGGCCGGGAATGGAATCCCTAAAGACCGTAGTACAGCTTGTTAATTTTAGAATGGTCCAGGAATGTGGGGAACCAGGGTTAGTAGACTCCAGATAGTCTGCAGGGGTGCTATGCCCAGCCGGGGTGGGTAGTCAGGTTGGGGTATGAGGTAGTGAGGTCCCTGTTTTGCTCTGGGATTAGAGACATGCTGAGACCCAAATAGGAGTGAGGTGAGCACAACAAATAATAGCGTGATTCTGTTTCAACTGGCTCTAGCTAAAGCTAAAGGTGAAGAATTTATCTTAACTACCAGGAGGGTGAGACCCTTAATGCCATGAGGCTGAGAGAGGCTCTACCTATGATTTGGACTAGTGGGCAGAGGCCACTGAAAGATGTGGCGGGAACGTTGGCCTCTCTGGGACTGTAACAAAGAGTCCCACACCGATCGGACCAAGTTCTCCCTGCTCCAACAACTCCCATCATGCTGTTCCAGCCACACGCGGTCAGAGACTCCCATGCCGATTGGACCAAGTCCTCCCTGCTCCAACAACTCCCATCACGCTGTTCCAGCTACAAGCGGTCAGAGACTACTCACCTCCTCTTCAGAACTGTCCGTTCCTTCCCGCCGTCACTATGAGACCCCTTCCCGGCTTCCTGGGCCAAACCTCCGTGTCCACCGAGTCCGCTGTCTAGTCTGCCCAATTTTCTAAATACTTTCATTAGTCCCTGGCCTTATCTTATAGTTAGGATAGCCTTATAGATGATAAAAACGATGATGTCAGGTCAGGATATTAAAAGGCAATAAAATAAAAAATCTAATCAAATAAAAGGTGAAAGGAAGGAATATGGCAACAGTAGTGTATATAGCCAAAAAATTCCTTTATTGTCACAAAATATAAAAGGTTTCTAGACGCGTTTCACCTCAATAGGCTTCTTCAAGTAGAAACTGGTAAAAACATAGACCTGACAGACATGGGTTTATATTGGAGACATTAATAACAATTAAATTTGACTTTCTTGCCAAAATGACATCATCACAATCTTGATGGAAAGATAAACAATAAAATTAGATTTTTTCAACATATTTAAAAACAGGTGAAATATTGGACTGTGTGTGTTTGGGGGGTTGTTCTCAATATTAATCGCTCAAAACGAAGCTTAAAACGTTAAAAAAACAGTAAGAAGGAAGTCACATGACGCGCGGCTAATTACTTCCACGTCACGTGAT